AACATTTTTGCATGTCCAAACTCTATCATTGAACATCAAACTTTAAAGGAACACATAGAGTAAGATTTAATACATGTGCAATTGTACTCAAAGCCTCGCCCCAAAAGGATCTTGGCAGCTTTGCTTGTGAAAGTAAACATCTTACCCATTCAACCAGTATCTTGTTCATTCGCTCAGCTAAGCCATTTAACTGAGGTGTCTTGGGAGGTGTCTTTTGATGTCGGATACCCTGTTGCTTGCAATATTCATCAAAAGGTCTAGTATACTCTCCCCCGTTATCAATTCTGATGTATTTCAACTTCTTTCCAATCTGTCTCTCAACAGAAGCTTGAAATTGCTTAAAAGAATCTAATACTTGATCTTTAGTTTTCAAGGTATAAACCCAAATTTTCCTTGAATAGTTGTCTATGAAAGTAACAAAATAAAGAGAGCCACCAAGTGATTTTGTCTTCATAGGACTGCAAACATCAGAATGCACTACATCAAGAATACCTGACTTTCTTGAAGGAGTTGAGCTTTTGAATGCAACTCTATTATAATTTCCTGCTAAACAGTGAGCACACTTCTTCAGTTCTGAACTTTTCATTCCTGAAAGGAGCTTCTTCTTGGTCAATATTAACAAACCCTTCTCACTAATGTGACTGAGCTTCTTGTGCCATAACTCAATCGTTTCTCCGTTGTCTACTGCATTAATTTTGTATGTGGACAACTTTGCCTGCATAATGTACAACGAATAACATTTTTTACCTCTAGCCACAACCATAAAACCTTTAGTGAGCTTCCATCGACCATCACTAAAGGTGTTGCAATACCCCTCATCATCCAACTTACCTGTGGAAATCAAATTCAAACGAATATCAAGTATATGCTTAACATTATTCAATACTAACCTTGTGCCATTGCTAGTCTCTAGGCACACATCACCAATGCCTACAACTTCAGCAAGTCCATTGTTTTCCATCTTCACAGATTCAAAGTCACCTGACCTGTAAGATGTAAAGAAATCCCTACGAGATGTAGTATGAATAGATGCACCACTATCAATTACCCAACTGGTCTCATGACATACAAAATTCACTGCATCACCATCAAAGACAATGAGAAAGTCTTCTGCAACTGCAGCAACACGATTGTCATCGCTATCATTATCACTTTTCTTCTCTTTACTTTTCTCTTTCTGTTTCTTTCTTTTCATCTAACGACAAAACCTCTGAATATGTCCCTTCTGATGACAATAATGGCACTCAACATTTGCAAATTTATTGTATTTGCCTTTACTTTTATCTCTGCTCTTGTCTCTAATTCTCGGACTTTGAGTCTCACTTCTTCCCCTTTTCTCAACAACCAAGGCATCAGAATATGAAGATGAGGATCCCTGTGTCTTTCTTCTCATCTCTTCATTTAAAACACTACTCTTGGCCAAATCCATGGTAATCATACCATCCGGGGCTGAATTAGACAAAGACGTTCGAAACGTCTCTCATGAGTCCAGCAAAGTACCAAGCAACCATAACGCTTGTATCTCATCATCAAACTTGATATCCATCGCAGCTAGCTAATTTATAATTCCTTGAAAAGAATTTAAATGATCAGTCAAACGAGCACCATCTTGATATCTCAGAGCCATCATCTGTTTTATCATAAATAACTTGTTATTCTCAGTCTTTCGAGCATACAATTGTTCGAGCTTATTCCACAAACTGCGTGCATGCGTTTCCTTAATGATATGATTCAAAACATTATCATCCACCCACTGCCTAATGTAACCACACACTTGACGATGAAATATAGTCCATTCAGCATTAGTTTTATTCTCGGGTTTCTCATCAACAAACTCGGATAAATAATAATCCTTCACGTACAAAAGGTCTTCCATCTTTCCTTTCCACATGTGATAATTCGAACCATTCAATGTAACCATTCTACTCGTATTCGTTTCCATCGTTTAACACAAGGCAGAAAAATCCAGCAATAACCAAAGCTCTTATTCCACTTTGTTAGGAGAACAATAACAACCCGAACAATATCGAATTAGCGCAGTGAAATAAAATAATCTCTCCTCTTGTGAAAATCTAATAGGAAATGACTGAATCGAGGAATATAAATACCAAGCATGTAAACACAAGGCGATTTTTTACGTGGAAAACCTCCTCGGTGTGAGAAGATCAAAAACCATGAGACCGGAGTCCACCCAAAAATCTTCACTACCAGCAAAACTGGGTGAAAAAATTCTTCTCTAGTAAATACTAGAGGTACATAGGAGCAAAAACATCAAGAACATCATTATTGACAATAGATATGAACTTCACAAGAGATAAAATGATAAATCTCACCAAAAAATGCACTTTTGGTGCAACCCACGAAAACCTGATGTAGGGAGCTTTAACTGAAAATCAAACCGTTCAGATTCGAGAAGAATGCGGCACAAACACGCTGACAAAATGTCAGCTCAATCGGACCACGAAACGACCTCCGACGTCAGTATCAGATATATCCTCAAACCCAGATTTTCTGCTCTCTTTCTCTCTCTTGTTACTATGTCTCTCAAAAACGTTCTTTTTGCAGCTACGACCTCATGATAGTGAGAAACTCTATTTCTCCATATGAATAGACATATGGGCTCAATCCTTGGGTTTACAATACATTGGGCTTCCTTCACGTGGGAGTGAACTCAGCCAACAGTATCTCGCATAATTGTTTGTGGTTCACTCCTTGCATACCTAAACACTGCTTCATAGCTTTGGTTACTCATCGATGGTGGGTTGCCTAAAGAGATAGGTTCAAGAGATGGCGTGCCTTGCAATCTGCTGTCTGTCTTCTACATGGTTTAGCTAATGAAACTTGAGATCACTTATTTTTTTAGTGTGGTTTTGATTCCTTTCTCCGGGTCAAGGTGCTTGAGTTACATGGAATTAATAGATTGCCTGGATCCTGGCTTTCTCAATTTGATTGGATTAAGCAACTTCTTAAGGGAAAAGCTTTTCCTGCCTTGCTCATGAAGAACTCCTGGTGCGCAGCATCTTATCACTTGTGGAAAGCAAGGAACAGGAGATTGCATGAAGCTGGCTTTATTCCACTCAGCACACGAAAGTCCATCCTTAAAATATAAACAAAGGTTCGTTCTTTACATGACTCGAAACTTGACTTGTAATTCTTTGACATGACTCAAAATCTTTATCAAGAAACCAGAAAAAATAAATTTCAATAAGAAAAGGGGAACGAATATGTGGGATGCAACAGGGCTGGCAATTTCTAATGCAAACTAACACGAATGCGGTACTCATTGACATGAATTTAATACACACAAGTTTTGTAGCATGATTAACAAAATCACAGTAGTTTCCACTGACATGACTTGATAGGATTACAAAACCCGGTAATGACACGTAAGCAACCGATTGTTAGCACTGAATTTCTGTTAATAAATCGACTTTTCAAGGCATGGTAAGTTATTGGTTTACCTATTTTAAGTCGAATCCCGGGTTTTGTCAAGCCTGCCCATTTGGTACTAATCTTATTAACTATATAACACAGAGCTCAGCAGCGACAGAGTCCTGTTCAAGATGCGCATGAGTATGAAAGCACCGAGGGAGGGGTTAACTCGGGAGAAGGAAAGGAAAAACTTTATGAATGGATCGCAAGAAAAAGACAAGAAAATCATAGTCAAAATCATGGTCCAGTCAAAATGGGATCGAACACGCGTCGGGCGAGCACGGGCTGAGCGAGTCAGGCGAGCGTAGAGAATTGTCGGGATCCCACGAGACGAGTCAACGTTAACAAAAGAGCGAAGAGATCGAAACGTGGACGCAACTTCAGACACTGATCTAATTGTCGCTTTGTCTTTTTTTCCAATTTCTTTAGCCCGCATTATTTTTCCCCCCGCTTCCCTCCGTCCAATCACTTGCGACCTGCATGAGGATTTACGTAAGACTTTGATCACTTTGCCACGTTCTTTAATCCCATTCGCAGCCGGAATTCACTTTTTCGTCTCTGCCCGATTTCGGATTACTTAAAAACATTTATGTTATTGCGCTCACACTTTATTGGAAAATACATAAAAAAAGTTGACTTTTGATTGCCAAACAGTTAGACCACGTGCCCTAATCCTATGATCACTGTTCTTGGGCGACTAGACTGGCAAGTATGGTGTGCTCGTCACGCGACATGTCCGATAAATGGATTGTTTCTCCAAGGCTAGATATGTTCAAATCAAGAAAGTGAATTTAGACTATAGTTACGGAACATATTCTAATTGCCCGTTCTCGAACATGTTAACAACATATTGTTGAAAGTAATTCCAGTAAGCATCATTACTTGAAATAGCCAAGAATCTTTCAAAGCGACGAGAAACCGAGTCACGAGTGTCACATATGGATTGTAAATAACACAGTCATTTTACGATGTATGTTCATTGGATGGAGTACGTTCATAGTACATTGGCAAGCATGTAGTGCAAAATCATGGGAACTTGGGTCCCGTTGTGATATAGAATATTAACTTTTGGCGAATGAAGGTAGAGGTATATCTTATCCAAAATTTAGCCAATTTCCAAATGCAACCCACCCAAATAAAGAATAATATTTGTCTCTAGACAACCCAATTACATGCGAGCATAACAAACGTATATTTCAGGGTTGAAATGATTATTTAACTATGCAAGATTAAATGTAGGGTCTGGTCTGGTCTATCAATAGCTCAACCCTGGGTTTCAGCGTGAAAAATCTAGTATATCGAATATACTACCTAAAGCGTAGATGAATTGACTACATATCTTGCTGAAGATTTTCTCCAACTCCATTGCTTGAGCAATTTTGACCTATATTATTAGAATAACTTATCTTTTTTTGTCCCAAGAAATTGCGGTTGCACCCCATACGTCCACGAAAAAGCACGTCATGTTTATTAATTTGTCACCATACTAAAAAGTTCAATCATAGAGAAACGATAACGTGAAAGACAGGTCCCAGTAAGCGAAAATAAAATGTATGAAAACTGAGAAGTTATTGTCAAGTGTTTGATTTAATTGAGGTACTTGACATTCTATTGGTGCACAAGGCGAACTTGCGTGCTTACATAATTCCGTTGACATAAAAGCTGTTCGGAGCAGCATCATACAGAGACGACACAATATGACTACTGTGAACATCTCTATCTTCTTTGTTGCAGCCACTGAGGTATGTCGTCGATGACGAATTCAAAGTGAGGGAGCTAGACATAGGTGACGAAAGAGATGACGAGCCAAGAACGAAGTTTTGGACTCTGTTGGCGTCCTTTGATTGAAAAACATAAGGTCCTGACGAGAAATGGTCAATATTGAACCGACAGGAACCGTCAAATTCATGGTTTGGCACAGGAACTGGAGTTTCAGCAATGTTCATGTGCTGATGTTGAATATCGCCATCAGCTTGCCAATAGCTTGGAATAGGGTTTTGGTGGCAACTAACGAAATTACTGGGGTTTGATGGGGGACTTTCCCTAGCATTATTCGAGTGCATGAGTCCGTTTTCATTTAGGAAATGGGAATTATTTGGTGGGTTATGAAGCTGGTTTGCTAGTAACGAATACTGGAACTGATCAAGAACTTCTGGGGTAATTTCTTGGACATTTTGGGGCACCTCTGGGCTTTTGAAACTTGAAGAGAAGAGAGTGGTCGCCAAGTCTAGGAGGTCCGGATTCACAGCATATCCATTCATGTTGAGAGAGTTTGGTACGTTGTTGAATTGTGAACTGTAATGAGCGTGAAGAGATGAGGTGAGGATGGAGGATAGATCAAGAAGATCGAGGCGCGGGCGGTGAGTCACCGGGTCGATTCCCATTTTGAGTAGCCTTTTCTTGATGTGGGTGTTCCAGTAGTTCTTGATCTCATTGTCGGTCCTCCCGGGCAATTGAGCCGCGATAGCCGACCACCTGTTCAAGAAAATGAAACTTTAGTGCTGACCAACATGTCTTGAAATCCATACATGGGATGTGGTATATTATTCATTTAAAAAGGACTATAAAAACCAGAAAGAAGAAAGAGAGATGGGATTGTATTTATGATTTCAATTTAATTATTTGCATGAGAATAGAAATCGTAAACGCTTTCTAAAGTTATTTAAAAATCAAGAAGTCCACAAATTAGGTAATCCATGGAAGCATCCGCGAAATTGCAAGATAATAAAGAAATAGAAGGCTAGAGACTGTCTGCTACTACATGCTACATAGTACTGTGTCATATAAAGAAAACGAAATTCTCATATGTATATTCTTACTTGTTGCCCAAAACACCATGCAACTGTATGATAGTCTCTTCTTCTTCGAACGCGAACCTCCCTCTCTTGATATCGGGCCGCAGGTAGTTCGTCCACCGCAGGCGACAACTCTTTCCGCATCTCTTGAGCCCTGTTAATCACGTAAAGCGAAGCTTGATGCATCAGCTATTGTTCGGGTCGGAACATGAACAACCATACACACAGCGCAAGACAATCAAACATCACTCTGGCGTCCCAGTATCAGCACACAACTTACCTGCATTTTTCGGGAGGGTGCGCCATTTTCCGTGCCCATGTTTCTGAATGTACTCGACCAGTTTCTTATCCTCCTCCGCCGTCCATGGCCCCTTCTTCAATCCATTCTTGTCACAACACGGAGGCTTGCCCATATTGCGTGAGAAATCTGGCTCTTTTACGATGAATGCTGCAATTAACACAATTAACACAGAGAGAGAGAGAGAGAGAGAGAGAGAGAGAGAGAGAGAGAGAGAGAGAGAGAGAGAGAGTCTTGGGGTTCTAGAAACAGAAGTGATTATGGTTAGTGATGATTAATGGTAGAGGAGATGTGTGTATAAATAGGAGGGGAAAGGAAGTGAGGAAGGATAAGTCAATGGGATTTGGTAATCGGAACCGCCCTTTGTTCACCACTTGAGAAACGTGTCTTCTCTCGAGGAACAAGGCTTGGGCTTTAACTACGTCCTTGAGGGAATTACCATGAAAGTTAATCACGACAGGCATGACGTGCCTAACATGTATATACTAAGTATTCTACCCCGGACAGTTTTTCTTTTATAGAATTCATTAATTCTTTACGTATAATTTTACTTTATAAATTTTATTACTTGTGCAATTTTGATTTCATGACAGTCAATCACAACTCACTAAATAAGCAAAAACATCTGGCTGAGAGCTAGTCAAATATGTTTTTTCACCGAATTACGTCTCCAAACATCGTCATACTTTGATCAGTTTACTAAAATTCAGGATCTTGGTACAATTATCGAGTCATCATATAGTGCTTCCTCCATCTTGGGTGTTCTCAGTGCATCTAAATTCTTAGATCGTGTAATATAAGCCTCGCATGTATATTTACCAAAATCAAGAGTTTAAAGCCGCTCAGAGCATTTTTTTTTATAAAAAAAATCCCTATTGTCTCGGTAAAGAGAGAGAAAGAAAGAGATGCGACATCGTGCTGTGTCGAATGGTGAGTGGTGGTGGGTTTGCACCACCTCCAACAAGACTGGCTTCTTGTCGTGTAGTCCGATTACACCACATGTCTCCAAATCAAGAAAACACGAAATGACGCGCGCGCACAAACAAATGACGCAACGATTTTGTGCATTTTCGGGCACGTATCGTAGTTAAACAGTACGGTGCCACGTAGATGACTGATGATGTTTTACCTTAGACCGTGCAAAGCAAAATAACATAACGTGCGTTTCAAATCATGAGCAGTACATGGCTCGGACCCGATGATGAGCCACGTTTGCATGAACTTTGGATCTGGCCATGTCGTGAATTACGGCTCCTCTTCTCATCGATTGCACATGTGACATGACACATGGGGACTGAAAACTTTGCACCCCAAACACCGTGGACCGGACTGATCTAGACCATCACAGGCGATGATTATACCCATATACAATTTAGATTCGTTCATGTAATCATTTAAAAACGTATTGAAAATCGCTAGTAAATAATATTCATCGCGGCCATGATCAGAATTTTCTTTCAACGTATTACTTTTCTATTAACTATACGAGAAAATTAGGCAAAGACTCGACGACTGTTACGTCGAAGCTAACCAATGAATCGCTTTCGGTAAGAGATCAAGTGTACACGTCCTTTTTTCACATCCATTTCCATTCTAGATGTGATATTCATGAAATTTTCCAGTAGAATTTCCCTGGATATTAACTCCTTCATATTTTCTATATAATCGACAATTGACTATACAAGAAGAGTAAGCAAAGACTCGACGACTATTAGGTTGAAACCAACGAATGAATCGCTTTGTCGGTAAGAAATCAAGTGTACAAGTCCCTTTTTCACATCCATTTCCTTTCTAGATGTGATTATTCATGAATTTTTCCTATAGAATAGTCCTGGATATTAATAACTCCTTCGTATTTTCGTCCCAAGTGACAGGAACCCGATGACATGACCTACGGATCCTGTTTAATGCGCTCGTTGAATTCTACTTTAAGTTCGTAGAAAAATAAGGATAGAACGACTTAAATAACAGGCTCAAACAATTATTCCACTTGGGTTTATTTCGGTTCATTGTCCATGGCTCCATTTCCCTCGGCCGACTTTGTATTTTGTCAATGACTATTTGAGTTGTGCCTCTCTCCAAGAGGAATACGCACGCGAGCATTTATTAGACTATACTGTATTTGTCAAAAGGTGGGGAGGTTTCGTTGTCAGCCCACTTCTTTATCTCTTTCTTTTTCTCAAACACTTGAGATGAATCTTTCAGAATTCAGTCCACGCTCACTTCCCATCACATGATCAAGACATCTTTACTGAGAAGAACCCCATCCGCTTCTTGCTATTTCGGGTTAAAAGCCTTATAGGCCGGTGCACGTTTCGTTTCCTCGATAAATCCGGTTCATGCATCCGGCAGCTAGATTTGGTAATGAAGCATGCGTTTACCTCGTTAGAGCATCACATGAGTTTTATTCCGGGGCAGCGAATAACAACACATGATGCGACTTTAAGGTTTCCCGTTCAAATCATCACGACGGCTCTCGGCCTTAGGAAAACTTTATGTTGGTCCAACTCGAAAGTTCAAATCAAGATGGAGATGTGTATCTTTCAAACTGAAGTTCCTATGAGAAATGCCAAACAGTCTGGTCATATGACAGGCTGATGCTTAGGTCTCTACGGCTGTCCACATTAAAGCATTGTACTAAGATTCATTTTGGCTGCCAGATGGGATTGACAAGGATACCGAGAGTGTCCCTCACCATTCAATGTCAATCCCCACCTAATTTTACATGAGTGGGAACGGAAGAACATGACAAGGGAAAATAAAATTAGAAAGAGCACAGGAAGAGAGCGTCCAATCCATATGACCATTGACCATCACATCCATCTGTGATGCATGATTATTTCATCTTTTGTCTCTGATTACTGTTATATAGCATGGTTGTATGATTGCTCGGTCAAAGTTCAGTTCGAAAGTCTACCCTCACATCCAGTTCTTATCGAATGATTCGGAGTTTGGCTCGGTACGTGTAAGTCCGGGAAAATCATTACTTGAATGTAATATATAAATTAAACCGAACGTGGATTTAACAATATCCGAAAGGTCAGATTCAATTTAGTATATGTATTAGAGGCTCACTGAATGCTTGCTAACAGATCAAAAGCTCTGACCCAATAGATCGAATGAAATTTTCTGTAGCATCACGTGAGATTCATGACTGAGGACGATGAGCCGGTGCGCTTGTTTACACCTTCAAGATAAGCTTGCCAGGTGTTGTCAGGTGTAATCTAGGACGCAAATTCAACTCTACTCGCTAGCTTTAGCTAGGATCATTCCTGGGATCTACAGTAATTTTCACTGTTCTGTTCATCCTCCGAGAATAGGAACTCTAGCTGGATCTGGACAGCTTCGAATCACTGGAGTCTGAAAGGCAAGACATGAACTTTAGACTAAAGACCCAAGATGCTCACGGCATCATGACCGGCGATCACTGTCGCGCGTGGGCTCTTTTTAATTGCTTTCTTATGATCCTCTTAGTCAATCCTGGAACACTGGCCATACAGTTTCCAACGTTTTCAATTTTCGATTCCATCTTTCAACACATCAATTACTCCTCAATTTTCTCTGATTGAGAATATATACTGCGCATGTTTATGCACCGATTGACTATATGCACACAGAGACACGTAACACGTGTTGCCCCTCGATTGCCACTCGGCCTACCCAATTGTTTTGCCTTTTTAGACAGAACAAAGATATATACCTCATTTAAAAAACAATTTTCTTTAGATAAGATCATGTGAAATCTTATACATGCCCTATATTTATATAATTGACTATAATGGAATGTGGGGAAAATGTCCAAAAATGTCGTAAACCTATTATATTTTTGCCAATTTAGTCTTAAACCATTCACTTTTGCCAATTGAGTCATAAATATTTTCACGTTTTGCCAATTGAGTTCATATAACCAATTTTAACCGAAAATTGCTGATGTGGGCGCCATTTAGTGTTATGTAGGACGGTCGGCGCTGACGTGGATAATTCAAATAATATTTTAATATTTTTCGAATTATTTTTTTTCTTCTTTTTGCTTTCTTTAATTTTCTTCTTCCAAGTCCAGCAAGTGTCACCGGCCAAGCCTCGTCGGTCACAGGCCTGTGATCGGCGAGGGTTACCAAGAAAGAAAGAAAAAAAGAAAAGAAAAAAGAAGAAAAAAATAAATTAAAAAATTCGAAAAAAATATCAAAATATTATTAAAAATTGTACACGTTAGCGCCGGCCGTGCCTCATAAGATGACCGACGTCCACGTCAACAATTTTCAGCTAAAATTGGTCGAATAGACTAAATTGGCAAAACATGAAAATGTTTAGAACTCAATTGACAAAATCGAAAGGTTCATGACCGAATTAGTAAAAGTGCACTAGTTTTAGAATTTTTTGGACAATTTGCCCATGGAATGTGAGTATCTTTTAATCAATGGGTTGTCATATAATTGTCTACGATGGACTAGACATGTCTAAGTATGCTGAGAAAACTACTCGAAGGAGTAAACAATAATCAAAGTATCTTCCCATAGTCAAACGGTTAAGCCCTTGTGACATGAGCAGAATATTAAGCTCAATCATACATGCTTAGTTATGTATGTCATGTATGTGTCAAATAAAACATGCATGGTGTCATAATTAACGTGTAATTCTTATTTGAAAAGATATTATTTATCCTAGTTTTCAATGAACTCCAATTAGAAATGGAGGAAATTTTTTTAGACCAACATCGCCAGGAAATACAGCCCGTGACAAAATATCTTAACGTTGTTCCTGTTTATGGGTTATACAATTAATAGAAGTCTCACAAAATCTATATGTTTTTTTACCTAATATAGTAAAGTAAAACCATTTACGGTGTATGTTAAAGTCGACCCCCATGAAGGGTGACCTAACAGGGAGAAAGAAAGAAAAGGTTTTTGCCCGGTTCATGGGCTTTGCAGGGTCGTAGCCTGTATTTTGCGTTCATGCACTTGGATTATTAAAAAAATAAAAGAGTAACTTTTACGTCGAAGTTAATAGAATTATCTATGGGTGAGCAGTTCCCGGTCCGGTCCGGTCCAACCCAAGAACCAGGAACCGGACCGGGAGGACCGGTTCCCAGTTTCTAGGACCGGGGACCGGACCAGCTAATTTTGGGACCGTGGATCGGACCGAACCATCGGTCCGGTCCGATTCCAATGGAACCAATTGGTAAAGGCAAGAGGGAACCGGGAAGCATTTTCGGGACCAATATATGAAAGCATTTTTGGGTTGGTCCCATTGGAACCGAATAAAAATGAACTATCAAA